TCACACCCTGCTGAAGTACCACACCCTGCTAGAGACCCACACACTGCTGAAGTAAAACACCCTGCTGGAGACCCACACCCTGCTGGAGTCCCACGCCCTGCTGGAATCCCACACCCTGCTAAAGTACCACACACTGCTGGAGACCCACACCCTGCTGGAGACCCACTCCCTGCTGGAGACCCACGCCCTGCTGGAGACCCACGCCTCGTCTGCTGGAGACCCACACCCTGCTGGAGACCCACACCCTGCTGGAAGTACCCACTGTTGGAGACCCACACCCTGTGGAGACCCACACCCTGCTGGAGACCCACACCCTGTTGAGACCCACACCCTGCTGGAGACCCACTCCCTGCTGGAGACCCACGCCCTGCTGGAGACCCACACCCTGCTGGAGACCCACACCCTGCTGAAGTACCACACCCTGTGTGAGACCCACATCCTGCTGGAGACCCACACCCTGCTGAAGTACCATGCCCTGCTAGAGACCCACACACTGCTGAAGTACCACACCCTGCTGGAGACCCACGCCCTGCTGGAGACCCACGCCCTGCTGGAGTCCCACGCCCTGTTGGAGCCCATGCCCTGCTGGAGACCCACACCCTGCTGAAGTACCACACCCTGCTGGAGACCCACACCCTGCTGAAGTACCACACCCTGCTGAAGTACCACACCCTGCTGGAGACCCACACCCTGCTGGAGACCCACGCCCTGCTGGAGTCCCACACCCTGCTGAAGTACCACACCCTGCTGAAGTACCACACCCTGCTGGAGACCCACACCCTGCTGAAGTACCACACCCTGCTGAAGTACCACACCCTGCTGGAGACCCACACCCTGCTGGAGACCCACGCCCTGCTGGAGTCCCACACCCTGCTGAAGTACCACACCCTGCTGAAGTACCACGCCCTGCTGGAGACCCACACCTGCTGGAGTTCCACACCTTTCCGGATACCTACACCTGCTTGAGTCCCACATCCCGCTGGATACCCACACCCTGCTGGAGACCCAGTTCTGGATCCACATCATGACAGAGCCACACCCAGTTTGACCCCAACACACTGGCTGATCCACATTCAAGGTTCAGGCGACTCACATCCTGCTAGACAACCCATCCACGCATATCCACACACAGCTACACTTGAACACTGTTGGATCCAGAACCTATGTAATATCCCTCTCTCATGCAAGGCTAGTACTTTTTACCTGTTTTATTGCAGTTACTTCAGATTTTGTTTTTAAGAAAATAATATTTCTTTGTTTGAGTAGGTTGCATGAATCTTAAAGATGCACTTTAGTACAAAATCGTTAACTCTCGTCTCCCAGAGTGCGACCTTGCTCCGGATTCCGAGGTGACCTCTATGTCGACTGTAAGTATGATCAGAAGACAAGGAACACCGTGAAGTACATTTCTCATCACATCAAACCCCCAATTACACAGAGAGAGACACACATTTCAATGTGGTTCTCTGACGCAAGCACTTCATCATGTGTCACCACGCAAACCAGCAGCAACGTCAGATGCTTCTCTACAGCACTATCGGAAATATGGAAAAAAACATGACAAAAAACTACACATTTAAAAAGGTCAGGTGTCAGGAGACGAGGCCAAGATGCATGCTGGAGACTTGACATGTCCGTTCACAGCTCAGGGTCAAAATCTCTCAGCCCATGCAGCTGAACACATCTAATCCCAGTCCCTGAAGAGTTGGGAGTCTGGAGTTGGAGATGCTGCACACATGATGGAGGGTAATGCAACCACATCAAAGATAGCAACATGATTATTCCAATATTTCAATAACCCTTTCTTTCTTCAAAAATAGAAAATCTTATGCAAAATTCTCAATGTTGCTGAATATGGAAAGATTCATGGCAATTATCAACTGGACTGATGGCTGTATAAGCTGCTTGTTGTGTGAAGTGATTGTTGTGTGAACTTACTAATGTATAAACTGCTGCTTGTTGTGTGATCTCACTATTGTTGCTATTGTGTAAACTGATTGTTGTGTGAACAAACTGATTGTTGTGCAAACTCACTATTGTGTAAACTGTTGTGTGAACTTACTAATGTGTAAACTGATTGTTGTGTGAAATTACTGTTGTGTAAACTTACTGTTGTGTAAACTGATTGTTGTGTGATCTTACTATTGTGTAAGCTGATTTCTATGTGAACTGATTAGTATGTGAACTGATTGGCATTTTGCACTATTTCTACAGTGAACTGACTTCATGTGAACTGATTGTCATGTGAACTGATTGTTTTGTGAACTCTCGTCTGAGTTGATTGCCATGTCAACTGATTGGCATGAGAACCGATTATCTCAATCGATTATCTGATCAAACTGTTAACTGTGACACCACCTTTAATGTCATGTGAACTGATTGTTTCGTTAACTAATTGTGAGATAAGTATTGGTGATGAAGTATCATGTGAGATAAGTATTGGTGATGAAGGATCATGTGAGATAGGTATTGGTGAGGATCATGTGAGATAGGTATTGGTGATGAAGTATCATGTGAGATAGGTATTGGTGATGAAGGATCATGTGAGATAGGTATTGGTGATGAAGGATCAGGTAAGATAAGTATTGGTGATGAAAGATCATGTGAGATAAGTATTGGTGATGAAGCATCATGTAAGATAAGTATTGGTGATGAAGGATAAGGTGAGATAGGTATTGGTGATGAAGGATCAGGTGAGATAGGTATTGGTGATAAAGGATCAGGTGAGAGAGGTATTGGTGATAAAGGATCAGGTGAGATAGGTATTGGTGATGAAAGATCAGGTGAGATAGGTATTGGTGATAAAGGATCATGTGAGATAGGTATCGGTGATGAAGTATCAGGTGAGATAGGTATTGGTGATGAAGGATCAGGTGAGATAAGTATTGGTGATGAAAGATCAGGTGAGATAGGTATTGGTGATGAAGGATCAGGTGAGATAGGTATTGGTGATGAAGGATCAGGTGAGATAGGTATTGGTGATGAAGGATCATGTAAGATAGGTATTGGTGATGAAGGATCAGGTGAGATAAGTATTGGTGATGAAGGATCAGGTGAGATAAGTATTGGTGATGAAGGATCAGGTGAGAGAGGTATTGGTGATAAAGGATCAGGTGAGATAGGTATTGGTGATGAAGGATCAGGTGAGATAAGTATTGGTGATGAAAGATCATGTGAGATAGGTATTGGTAATGAAGGATTAGGTGTGATAGGTATTTGTGATGAAGGATCAGGTGAGATAGGTATTGGTAATGAAGGATCAAGTGAGAGAGGTATTGGTGATGAAAGATCATGTGAGATAGGTATTGGTGATGAAGGATCATGTGAGATAAGTATTGGTGATGAAGTATCATGTGAGATAGGTATTGGTGATGAAGGATCAAGTGAGAGAGGTATTGGTGATAAAGGATCAGGTGAGATAAGTTGGTGATGAAAGATCATGTGAGATAGGTATTGGTGATGAAGGATCAGGTGAGATAGGTATTGGTGATGAAGGATCAGGTGAGATAGGTATTGGTAATGAAGGATCAGGTGAGATTGGTATTGGTGATGAAGTATCATCTGAGATAGGTATTGGTGATGAAAGATCATGTGAGATAGGTATTGGTGATGAAGTATCATCTGAGATAGGTATTGGTGATGAAGTATCATGTGAGATAGGTATTGGTGATGAAAGATCATGTGAGATAGGTATTGGTGATGAAGGATCAGGTGAGATAGGTATTGGTGATGAAGGATCAGGTGAGATAGGTATTGGTGATGAAAGATCATGTGAGATAGGTATTGGTGATGAAGTATCATGTGAGATAAGTACTGGTGATGAAGGATCATGTGAGATAGGTATTGGTGATGAAGTATCATGTGAGATAGGTATTGGTGATGAAGTATCATGTGAGATAGGTATTGGTGATGAAGTATCATGTGAGATAAGTACTGGTGATGAAGGATCATGTGAGATAGGTATTGGTGATGAAGTATCATGTGAGATAGGTATTGGTGATGAAGTATCATGTGAGATAGGTATTGGTGATGAAGTATCATGTGAGATAGGTATTGGTGATGAAGTATCATGTGAGATAAGTATTGGTGATGAAAGATCATGTGAGATAGGTATTGGTGATGAAGTATCATGATCATGGTGATGAAGATCATGTGAGATAGGTATTGGTGATGAAGGATCAAGTGTAGAGATAGGTATTGGTGATGAAGGATCATGTGAGATAGGTATTGGTGATGAAGGATCATGTGGATCAGATAAGTATTGGTGATGAAGGATCATGTGAGATAGGTATTGGTATTGGTGATGAAGGATCATGTGAGATAGGTATTGGTGATGAAGTATCATGTGAGATAGGTATTGGTGATGAAGTATCATGTGAGATAGGTATTGGTGATGAAGTATCATGTGAGATAAGTATTGGTGATGAAGTATCATGTGAGATAGGTATTGGTGATGAAGGATCAAGTGAGATAGGTATTGGTGATGAAAGATCATGTGAGATATGTATTGGTGATGAAGGATCATGTGAGATAAGTTGGTGATGAAAGATCATGTGAGATAGGCATTGGTGATGAAGTATCATGTGAGATAGGTATTGGTGATGAAGTATCAGGTGAGATAGGTATTGGTGATGAAGTAGATCAGGTGATGAAGGATCAGGTGAGATAGGTATTGGTGATGAAGGATCAGGTGAGATAAGTTGGTGATGGTGATGGTATTGGTGATGATCAGGTGAGATAGGTATTGGTGATGAAGGATCAGGTGAGATAGGTATTGGTGATGAAGGATCAGGTGAGATAGGTATTGGTGATGAAGGATCAGGTGAGATAAGTATTGGTGATGAAGGATCAGGTGAGATAAGTATTGGTGATAAAGGATCTGGTGAGATAAGTATGGCAACATATTGGTGACGCAGGATCTGGTGTCTCAACTAGGTGTAACATCCTTTATCTACATAGTAGCAATTCATGACAGGTGAACTAAGTACGACATCTCTTACCTGTATATCGGGTGATGCATGACCATAAGACGGCTATCGTCAAAAGACCACTGTGCTTTCTGAAACAGAAGACAGAAAATTCTGTGATGTAAGACTACTGAAATCTCAACTGGACAAAACACTGAAATTATAAGTATACAACCTGTGGACAGTTCACATCCTGGCCTGTAGTCTCAATACAGACTGATACAGACCGGATGGTATATGGGACAGTTCACATCCTGGCCTGTAGTCTCAATACAGACTGACACAGACCTCGGCCTGTATGGTATATGGGACAGTTCACATCCTGGCCTGTAGTCTCAATACAGACTGATACAGACCGGGTGGGATATGGGACAGTTCACATCCTGGCCTGTAGTCTCAATACAGACTGACACAGATCCGGTGGGATATGGGACAGTTCACATCCTGGCCTGTAGTCTCAATACAGACTGACACAGACCCCGGGGTGGGATATGGGACCGGGTGGGATATGGGACAGTTCACATCCTGGCCTGTAGTCTCAATACAGACTGACACAGACCGGGATGGGATATGGGACAGTTCACATCCTGGCCTGTAGTCTCAATACAGACTGACACAGACCGGGTGGGATATGGGACAGTTCACATCCTGGCCTGTAGTCTCAATACAGACTGACTCAACAGACCAGACGGTGGGGATATGGGAAAGTTCACATCCTGGCCTGTAGTCTCAATACAGACTGACACAGACCGGGTGGGATATGGGAAAGTTCACATCCTGGCCTGTAGTCTCAATACAGACTGATACAGACCTGGCCTGTAGTGGGATATGGGATATGGTTCACATCCTGGCCTGTAGTCTCAATACAGACTGACACAGACCGGGTGGGATATGGGAAAGTTCACATCCTGGCCTGTAGTCTCAATACAGACCATCCTGGCCTGTAGTCTCAATAGACCACAGGTGGGATATGGGAAAGTTCACATCCTGGCCTGTAGTCTCAATACAGACTGACACAGACCGGGTGGGATATGGGAAAGTTCACATCCTGGCCTGTAGTCTCAATACAGACTGACACAGACCGGGTGGGATATGGGAAAGTTCACATCCTGGCCTGTAGTCTCAATACAGACTGACACAGACCGGGTGGGATATGGGGCCTGTATATGGACAAAGTTCACATCCTGGCCTGTAGTCTCAATACAGACTGACACAGACCAGACACACACAGACCGGATGGGATATGGGAAAGTTCACATCCTGGCCTGTAGTCTCAATACAGACTGACACAGACCGGATGGGATATGGGAAAGTTCACATCCTGGCCTGTAGTCTCAATACAGACTGACACAGACCGGGTGGGATATGGGAAAGTTCCCATCCTGGCCTGTAGTCTCAATACAGACTGATACAGACCGGGTGGGATATGGGAATGTTCTGACTGACTGACTGACTGAGTTTGGTTTTTCTGACTGCCTGACTGAGTTTGGTTTTACGCCGCTTTTAGCAATATTCCAGCAACATCACGGCTGGGCACACCAGAAATGGGCTTCACACATTGTACCCATGTGGTGATTTGAACCCGGGTCTCTGGCGTGACGAGCCAACGCTTTAACCACTAGGCTACCCCACCGCCCCGGATTCCATAAGATATCATACTAAGAGGCAGATTGGCATTAGTGCTAAAATCTTTTTCTGAAGACATGATTGGTTGTTCAAAATGCTGCTCTTTTGCAAGGAGTATATATACTTCTATATTCCTGTATTACCTTTCTAACTGGGATTGATCAGCAGGTCTATCATGCATTATGAAAATATCAACCTATAATACACTTGAATGAGTGAGTGAGTTTTAGTTTTACGCCGCTTTTAGCAATATTCCATCAACATAGCAGCATGGAACCTCCGAAATGGGCTTCACACACTGTACCCATGTAGGGAATCGAACCCGGGTCTTCGGCGATGATGAGCGAACACTTTAACCACTAGGCTACCCCCACCGCCCCTAATATACTTGAACACATGATAACACAGATAACTATAGTTGTATGAAAGAATTGGGTTACCTTTAACTTCTTTTGAGTAGTATACACCAAATCTCTGAGAGCTATCAGTGGCTATGAGTCTTGCAGGAATAACTCCAGCAATATTGTGAAAATTTATTCATGAAAAAATCCTGTCCACAAAACATCCTGAGCAACCTCTTCCAAAATCCCTGTAAGGCTCCGTAACGACCATCAACTAGATCAGCCAATCACATCTTACAATCACAGGGCAATAAACAGTATATAACGCATGCTGATATCAAAACAGAATTTTTATGAACCATATAACATGAACTCATCCAGAATGATGCTCCCTATTTCTGGTTTAACCTTCCAGACGACACAATTTTGATAACCACCACTGCACAAGTTAGATCAATTTTGTCCAAATGGAGATTTTTCTATCACAAAAATGGCAACTAAATTCCCTGTGCTGAGGCTGTAAAAGCGGCTCCTGCAGAGGAGGTTCCTGTGGAGATGGTCTGTCCTGGCAGTTGTCAGTGAGTCCAGGACATACAGTCAAACCTCATGCCAGGCTCAATTTCCGTGACAGCCACATGAGGTCTTTGTGATTCTATCATCAGTCACAATGAGTGATAAGGGGTGTGCAATCTCCACAGTGCCTTAGCAGGACATTCCGGTCCCCCAACCTAGCCGTGTGTGTTGGATCAGTCAGGCTGGAAGAGAACTGTGTCAGTGTTTATGTGCCAGCGATGGGAACAATTCCTTGTCTACTGAACACCTCAGTCACAAAGTTACTGTATACCCCTGTCACAAAGTTACCGTACACCCCAACCACCAAGCTACTGAACTTTCCAACTACCAGACTACTGAACACCCCAACCACCAGGCTACTGAACACCCCAACCACCAAGCTACTGAACACCCCAACCACCAGGCTACTGAACCTACTAACCACCAAGCTACTGAACACCTCAACCACCAAGCTACTGAACACCCCAGCCACCAGGCTACTGAACACCCCAACCACCAGGCTACTGAACACCCCAACCACCAAGCTACTGAACACCCCAACCACCAGGCTACTGAACATACTAACCACCAAGCTACTGAACACCTCAACCACCAAGCTACTGAACACCCCAACCACCAGGCTACTGAACACCCCAACCACCAGGTTACTGAACACCCCAACCACCAAGCTACTGAACACCCCAACCACCAGGCTACTGAACACCCCAACCACCAAGCTACTGAACACCCCAACCACCAGGCTACTGAACACCCCAACCACCAGCTACTGAACACCCAAACCACCAAGCTACTGAACACCCAACCACCAGACTACTGAACACCCCAACCACCAGCTACCAACATCCCAGCCACCAGGCTACTGAACACCCAAACCACCATGCTACTGAACACCCCAACCACCAGCTACTGAACACCCAAACCACCAGCTACTCAACACCCAACCACCAGACTACTGAACACCCCAACCACCAGCTACCAACATCCCAGCCACCAGGCTACTGAACACCCCAACCACCATGCTACTGAACACCCCAACCACCAGCTACTGAACACCCAAACCACCAGCTACTGAACACCCAACCACCAGACTACTGAACACCCCAACCACCAGGCTACAAACATCCCAGCCACCAGGCTACTGAACACCCAAACCACCAGGCTACTGAACATCCCAACAACCAGGCTACTCAAAACCTCAGCCGCCAGGCTACTGAACATCCAAACCGTCAGGCTACTGAACACCCTGGCAAAAGACGATGGAGCGGATATCAGAAAGTAAGTGATGAATCTGCCTCTCAGTTATTGATCCTGAGACGGTGATCGGCTGTGATTGTAACTGACCAGTAATTACCAGCATTCAAACTGATCACGAGAGCATCCGCGTCTCTGCAGCTAACTGTTGAGCTCCAATGCATGCAGTTAATAGACTGCGATACCTCAGCACAAAATTGTGATGTGCGAAAGATCACACAGCCATTGAATTTTGCTTTACAAGCTCAGAGGTGGAAATTACAAACTATACCGTCATTATGACTTTCATTACGACGCCACACACTAATGCAGCCTTGGCGTAAGGAAAAGGCTGAATTGCGCTTTTCATGGCGTTCAGAAGAGAGAAAATTCTGTACTTAAATTCAAAGTATAACAGCGCTGGTTTCATCCTGAGAGAGAAGGAAATGGGGTTTCAGAAGGTAATAGCAGTGATACCAACACACCTCAAAATGAAACGCAGCAGGAAGTGGAACCGTGGTGTTTGAAAGGCCATAAAAGTGGCTGTCATGATGTCTTCGAAGCCATCATGGCCGACAGTTTACAAGAACAAATTTGCCTTAAATTCACTTCTAGCTTTTTTAAAAAGCTTTTAAAGAACTAAAAAGATTCTTTCTCTATTGAATTTTGTACTTTCTTCAAATGATGCTTTCAGTGGAAGACCTGGTGCTGATGGTCCTACCATTAGGTCAACATAATTACATGTCCATGTTTCTCAGACCTCAGAACACTCTTCTGGCAGGGATGCAAGAAAATACACCAACTACATCACCTTCAATGTGTACATGTTTATTATCCTAATCTTGTGTTACTATATCTACCCTTAATTCTTATTGGTATCCATTCAACCTAGAATCTTGTCTTTTCATATGCACAATTTATATAATTGCTTATCTTTCCAATATTTAAATGGATATCCAAATATCACCGAAGCATTTGTTCATTTATAATATTTCAATTTTCTTTCCCTTTCTTCTTCTCATTGCCTTACATGTTTTGCCTGACAAACTTGATAGTAAATGAAGCCACTGTATTCCCTACAAGCTTCAAAACAAGACAAGCCTCCCTCCCTTCCGCTGTAGTCAGCTTCATCATAAAGGCAGCCATTGTAGTCTCGGCACATTATTATGTATCAGGGAGTTTTCAAGTCTTTATTTTCTCCACAGATAGTCGTGCAAACAGAAAATGCTTTTTGACTTCAAGTGAGTACAAAAGATGCAAGATGCAGACCTCAAGTCTTCTTTCTGTTGACTTCCACCAGAGAACTTTAATCTGACAGCTAT